TAGATGACGACTGCAGGGCGCGCGGAATAATCTGGATTCTGTTCTAATTTGACCATATTTGGGTGTTTGTTCTGCGCGCGCCGTCGTCAAGTGACGTTGCCGTTCTCTTGCTAAATCAGCCTATTGAACGTTTGGTGCAGACGGTCAAGTAGTGCACGAGAAAAAGTGCAGCCGCAGGACATGATCCAAACATACCTATGTTGATCTACAGAGCCACACCCCTTACTACCAGCATACCATCACCTGCAAAGCATTGAATGGACGAAAGTACAGCGCATTAGTTCCAACCTGATCCCCTATCCAGAATCCTGATTGCCAGGTTGTCAGAGAGCAAATGGTGAAAGTCAAAATGTGCGAGCACTACAACACCCCCAGTGCAAGGGATCTACCTTCACTGCCACAGAATCAGGGAGTGTACGTACAAGTTCACCCCCAGCGTAACCAATGGACTTCAGCAACCGTTACCAAAACGCCAGTAGCGTCTCAACCGAGATCGTACAATGTGCAACCTGTAATCTCGTTTGTGGTGAATGAAAAAGTATAAAATTTGATTTTTATTTATTTAATAATTCTTCCATATATGATGATTTAATGATCAAACTTGCAACATATCGTGCAAACTTAAAAGTGTCGAAATTATTCCTTTCTTTAAACTGGTGCTGTTTTCGTTGAATTGTAAGGTATTATAAATGACTGGTTTTTATCGTATTTAAAAAGTAGAAAACAAACAACACACGTTGGTACACATGCCCCGGAAAAATAACTACCTTATAGTTAGGATCCCTTTTCTTTCTACTAAATTAGCTTAAAAAATTTTTTTGCGGAACATAGTGGTTATGCGATCCTGAATGAGGCTTTTTATCCAATAGAAACAAGTGATTAAACCCCATTCTAGCACATTGCCCACTTATTACAACATACAAACATATCAAATGTTTCAAATTGTGCACACAGGAAATCATGTAACTTATTTGGCATAATGTTTTACTACTTACAGCTCCAGTGCCTCCAGAAATTCTTGCAAGAGGAGTCTTGGCCTTGGAAGCTTACAATGATGCTCTTAGTGTGGGGACAACTTGTGACAGAAGAGTCCCAGTCATGTTGATTGGCCAGTACCATTCAGGGAAGACCAGCCTGAAGAGATCATTGAAAGGAGAGGTTTTCAGACCAGATGAAAACACTACTGTGGGGATAGATGTCGATCCTGCTCATTTTGAAGTCTCAACTGAGTTTGGAAGGCTGGAAATAACGGTCAGGAATCAAATGATGACGAGGCCGTTTCTTATGAACACCATGCAGCCCAGTTTATTGTGCATAGTTTGACAAAGGAGAGACCTGAGGTAGGACCTCTGTCAGAGCCTGTTCAGTCGGGTACTTCACTTTCCAGCTCAAAATCATTAATACAATACAATAAAACACAACACAACACAGCTCAGCACAGCACAGCACAGCAGAGTACGACCAGCACAGTACAGCACAGCACAACACAACACAGCGCAGGACAGCACAGCACAGCGCAGCATGCACAGCGCAGCACAGCACAGCACAGCACAACACAGAACTGCACAGCGCAGCACAGCACAGCACAACACAGCACAGCACAGCATAGCACTGCTCAGCACAACATAGCACAGAACAGCACAGAACAGCACAGAACAGCACAGCACAGCACAGCACGGCACAACACAGCGCAGCGCAGCAAAGCGTGGCGCAGCACTGCACAGCACAGCACAGCACAGCACAGCGCAACACAAAAGGCAATGCGTTCCCGTTATTAAGGACTTCTAATAGCTAATTTCATTTTTAATTTAAGATAATAATGATGCTAAGAATTTTTTTTAAAGAAAATTTCAAACTTTGTAATAGCTAATATAGTTATCAACACTTCACTCATAGTCAATTCCATCCTGCATGGTTTAAAGAGTTCACTTCTAGCTAGTCTATTCAATTCCTTCCTTGTCTTTCCATTACTTAAATCATTATATGTTCTAATAGCGCGAAAAAGGAAACGATCTTTGTCTTGTAGATGTGTTTTCCGTGTTTCAGTCTATAGTTATGTGCATCGGGTCAGTGATTAGGTTTTCTGTCAGACACCTGGGTGCTAAGCTGTGCAAACATTTACAAATCATCACCGCAGCATCCATTAAGAGCTGCTTTTGAGCAGTAATCCGACCAAGCTCTTCTAATACCCGACTGATGTGTTTAAACTTCCTTGTTCCAGCCACGATAACTGAACTTAAGTTTAGTAATGGTTTGCTGGTAGTCGCTGACCAGTTAGTTGAGCAATGACACAGTTTACGGAAACCAGCAGAACGTCCCTGGAAAACAAATGTTTAACTCTATTCATCTGAGATAATGAACATAACAATGATGACTTTAACTTTCTTATATGTTAATTTTAAGTTAAGTTTGGGTCCAATACTATAATTAGATATTTGATTGACTCCTGGACATAAATTTCTTCTTGACGTTTTAGAGGCGTGTTATCCAAGTGGTACCCATTCCACTACAGCTGTACCAGAAGATGGTGGGTCTAATCCAAGTAAAGCTGAGCAAGGAGACAATCATTTTGTCGCAGAAAAAGTGCCTGACGCGATAGCAGATTCGGTTGAAAAGTTGCTTTTCGACGTTACTAAAGAAGATAGAGAGGACATTTATTCGGTGTTGTGGGATTTTGGGGGGCAGTTTGTTTACTATGTCACCCATCCAATCTTTCTCAGCCAAAGAGCAATATATCTTTTGACTTATGACCTCAGCCAGAACCCACATGACAGAGCCAACCCTCCTGTGAAGCAAGGAAGGTTCCAGAAAGTCAAAGACAACTTTTGTCTAAAAACCAATTTGGATTATCTAGATTTTTGGATGACTCATGTTGCTTCCCTGGCTTCCCTAACCAAAGACCATCAGAGGATCAAAGACGATGAAATGTATGCAAGTCCCAGAACATCTGTATTGCCAGAGAAATGTCCCCCTGTGTTCCTGGTGTTCACTCACGCTGATACGCCCTATGGTGGTGGTGATCCTTATTTACTCGCCCGAGAAATTTTTGGTTGTCTTCAGTCCAAGCCTTACGGAGCGCACTTATTTGAAGAAATATTTGTGGTGGATAACACAAAGTCAGGCAGTGTATCTGAATGTCCAGGTGTTGTGCGCTTGCGAAAGGAGGTGTTTGCTGTTGCTAAGGAGCTACCGCAGATAAAGGAAGTCATTCCCATTAAGTGGCTCAGGTATGAGAGGGAACTTCAAGCAATGAAGGAGATGGGTGACAAGCACATTTCTCTTGAGAAAGCAAAACAAATTGCATCTGAAGTATGTAACATCAAAGAGGATCAAGAGATTTTGACATTGCTGAACTTTTTGCATGACCAGCGAGTTCTAATTCATTTTGATGACACTCCATTGTTGAAAAACCTCGTGGTCTTGGACTCTCAGTGGTTGGTTGATGTGCTTAAGAAAGTGATAACTATTAAGCCTTATGATCCCAAAGAAACAACAGAAGATCAAACATTATGGGAAAGGCTTGAGCAAACAGGAATTCTTGAGGAAGAACTTTTAGAACATGTTTGGCGCCCTTTGTTTGTTCACAAAGAAACCTCTGAGAGTCTTATTGCAATCATGGAGAAATTCAGCCTGCTTTGTCCTTTGCCGTCATTAAATGCACCATGCAGCAAGCAGTATCTGGTGCCATCCATGTTGATGTCACTTCCTCCCAAAGACATCATCAAGTTGGTTGCCTCTGCTCGGCTTCCCTCTCTTTTCCTAAGATTTGATTCTGGTCTGGTTCCTGCAGGCTTGTTTCCCCGACTCGTAGTGAAGTTCTTTCAGTGGTGGACTGAAGAATGTCCAAGCCAGCATGTTCCCCAATTTTTTCATAACTTTGCCAGGTTTTTTATCTCGCCAGATGAAGGCGGTTCCGTGGTCTTTCTTTGCCATTCATCTTCAGTTGAGGTCGTCATTCTTGGTGTAAACGACAGTCTTACTCTGACAGGACGTTTACGTTCAAAAATGAAAGTATCTGCAAGGTTTTGCCGTGACAACACTGATAAGAGTCCCGCCCATTTTGTACGTAGCCAACTAGCATTGATGATTGATTCAATGCGCAATGAGTTCTTTTGGCTAAAGAACATGAGATGTGAAATGAGTTTTCTCTGCCCAGTCTGTTGTCACCAGGGTGCAGTCAACTTCTGTCGAAATCATCGTGCAAAAGGTTGTAAGCAAGAAGAATGCCTTCACTTTTTCTCAGAGTCTGAGTTGTACAAGTCTACAGAAGCCATCGTGTGCATCAGGGCAGCTACTGCCAAGGATAATAGGGTTTCCATCAAGCAGTTTGCTCCTTGGTTTACATTTGGCCAGAACGAGGTGAGTATGAATTAATTTAAGCTTGTGCAACTGCGATATTTTTTGGGGGAAATTACTTTCAATCAATAACTTTAGACATAAGGCAATACAAATAATGCTTTAGTATGAGCGAATTGCCAAAGAGTGATTTACAAGCAATTTCAGTCTTCTTACAATTGCAAACAGGCGAGCGATAACAATACAAACAATCATCAACTCGGTCATTTGTAGTGTTTACCTTGATTTAGATACGTTTGCGAATAAAAAATATGTAAAGAGAACTGAAATTTTTGACGTGGGTTTAGGTGGTTCCCTACAGTTGTATGACCACACGCGGGCCGGTGACGTCGTAAGACCACAAAAAGCAAAATGAATAGATAATTTTCTCGTGTTTCCGTCGGTTAAATTCCGTAAAATTTGGCGGGATTGGTCATTTAATTAGTTTGCTTTACTTAATGCTCAGTTTTTCAGGAAAATCACTTTTAAGGAGGTGAAGGCACAAATTCGCAGAAAATGAAGAAACAGCCTGAACGATTCCCACCGTTTTCGTGTTTAAGGTGATTCCTAGTAAAGGAACCCACCATAGATTTCCGATGAAACTTGGTATGCTGTTGTTACAGGACAAGGAGTTATTAGAAACGTAATTAAAAGAGGGGGTCACCGTGCTTGTTTTCATGCCACAATGCTGACAAATATGGTTATTTAGGTGACTTTTGGTAATCTCAGCGCGCAACAAATAAGCTCGATTATTTTTCAATGCAGCGCTTTATACCACACAGAGTTTGACTTTCTTTGATTGTTTATTCATCCACGTCCCAGAAAAAATGTCCTCAAATACCTTGCATTTTTTATCCTTTAAAGGAAACATAATTTGGACATGCGCTGTTGGGCCCGCTGCGTCTTCCTCTGTAGAAGTTATTTCATTTGCCAAAAACGTAGCCGTAGATTTCTGCTATTTTTTTTCTCAGTTATTTAGGATACTGTTCTCATTGAAATTATGCAATAAAATATATAGGTCACCATGCTCGTTTAAAGTGCCCCTAACCCCCAAATTTTTTTCGCTAAAACAAATCTAGACTTTATTTGAAGCATTTGGGCGAAGAAAATTTTGAATTTGGTTGA